ACCCTATCAGTCATTCTGCAGTATGATACCACAGCTCTGGCCAGTACCATGGATAATAAATTTAGCCACAGTACAAATTTACTTTAAATTAAATCAGATCTTTATCAAAGAGGTTAGAATTGGTGTTAAAAATTGCTCAGTTCCCCCACCCTCTGCAATCTCTGCTCTTCCACCACCATCACTACCCTGCTGGAGAAGCAAGACAAGCAGCCACTGTCGCGTCCCTGCTGTTCCAGCTCACACGGCTATCCCCAGTAGGGTTTGGTTTTAATCACTTAAAGCAAAGAAAGGGGATTTGTAATGAGGGAGGCAACTGGAATCTCGATCTCTGTCACAAAGCATTCCCTTTGTAGGCCTGCCATCTGAATTAAAACAAACAAACCTGAACCAAGTTTTTTCCTACAGCTACTGATATTAAAATCTAACCCCAACTGATTTATAAAGGTAACAGAGCACAGGGGAGGCGGTGTGTGAATGCTGTCTTAAAGCCACCAGGATCAGCAGCACACATATTACAATGAGTTACTCAGAAAACCATGTTTTTACAGCTAAATATCAAAAACTTTCCTTGTTAGTCTCAATGGTTGATGACCAGTTTAGGCTGAGCTAAGACCACAGAGTTATTGAGAGAAATGGTGTGTCCTGCCTGGCCCCAGCCCTCACAGCGCACCCCCCTCGGCAGAGCCAGCATCCCTCCTCCCCAGATCAGCAGCCAGACTTTTCGTGAGGCAGGCGTGCTGCCACTGCCCCACCTGTCGCCCAGCACACAACTACCTAAAAAAGGTGGTTCACAGAGAGGTCTCTGCTTCAGGTAATCTGTGAATTATCTTCTGAGCTGTTGGTACAACAGGCGGTGCCACGGTTAATGATGGTGATTTAATAAGTGAAAAACGAGTATTTGGCATCCCCTCCTCTGGGCGGGCAGCGGCAAAGGGAGTTATACTTCAGTGCGCCGCTGCTGAGCCGTGCTTCACAGGGAGGCAGGAGATTTAGTGCTCTGCTTCAGTTTGTCACATGCTTCATTTTTGCCTTGACACCTAGCCTAATTGCATGTCTACAAGAGATAACCATCCATACCCCTCCACTACCGTGATACAAGGGCTGCAAACAAATTCCAGATACAATGACGCTGATTCAAGACCAGGAAGGGTAAGCAGTGAAGCACGACATGCGTGAATTTCAGCAGTGTTCCCATACCTGAGGTCTGACGGTTGAGGCAGCAGGACTATAAACAGGTTTGTTGCAGGAAGGAGCCTCCCATGGTGAGCCCACAGCTCACCAAAGCACGGGAGCTGCATGGCACCCTCTGGCATTCAGCAAGAACCTAAATGACCAACTCTAAAGATGCCGGGGTTCCCCCCCCTGCGCAGCCACCTCTGCTGTGCTACCCCCACCCCAACGTCCCTCCCCACTGCCAGGCTGCAGCCACCACAGCCCCACACTCCTCTCGGCACTGATGGAAAGGGGAGGGCCGGCTCCTGCACTTGTGCAGGGGCAAAGAGGAATCAGAATGTGCAACCAGGGCCAGGTGCAGAGAGCTGCCAGACAGGTAGGTGACAGTCCCCATGGTACGCCACAGCACATGTGTGTCCTTTGCTCCCAGGAAGACAATGACATATGGTGCCCTGTCCCATCTCTCCCACTGCCCTTGCCTGGAGGACCTCTGCAGCCAGCCCAAGGAGCTGGACACGTCTGCAGATGATGTGGCACCTCCGACATGCCTTCTTCTTGTGCATCAACTTCTCGGGGATCACTGCTAACCCAGCCCCACCATAGTGCATCCAAGTGACAGGCTGTGCACAGTAATGCTACAGCCACATGTCTCTGCTCATCTCCTTCACCCCACAGCACGAAGGCTATCTTTCACCAAAAAAGCAGCAAATATGCCTGCAATCCCCGATGTGCTAACACCCAGCAAAAATTAATGCAATCATTTCTTCAGGCAGACAACTGCTGTCTGTTTGCATGGTGCTATGCGCATGGCTGCAAATCCTGGGTGCCCCGGCCTTGCTGCAACAGCAGGGCTTGCTGCCCTCCAAGCCCACAACACAAGAAAGTCATGCAGCCCACATCTACATCAAGCAAAATTAGCTGATGTGTTGCTCTTAATCCACTAGGAAGGCTTCCACAAGATGTCAGCCTAGCTAAATGACAACGCTAGCCTCAGGGTGCAACTCTACTTTTCCAGCACATGCATTTAGCAGGAAAACCAGCTCTTTCGCTGCCCGAGGAGTGGGGAAAGGGAGAAGCCCCCGAGAGGGTTTTTCAGTCCCAGCAAGTTTATTCCCGAGGCGGACATGCTATCTTCCCTCTCAGTTCAGCACGTGATAACTCAGGCCGTTCGAAGCGCCCTTTCTGGCACAGATCCCCAGATGGCACTCACACGTGGATCTCCTCAGCATACAACCGAGCTTTCAGTCTTGGGAGAAATGCAATCGCGTGAGTTTTGTGGACAGCCAGGGTTTATTCCCAGCCTATGACACCGTGACAGCCCAGGCAGCTCCCGAGGAATAACGTGAATGTTACCGCCAAGTTGAAGAGAATCAGATGCACGCTTTCGGTAATATCTGTTATTTCACGACAAGCGCACATAAAAACACGTTTCACTAAGAAAAGCACCCATAAAGTTCACATTAACAGCTTCCCAAACAGGAAACTCGCTGGCAAGGTGCTAAATAGCCTTTGCTTGGTTACAGGCCAAAGAACGGAGAGCTTCAGAAAGGAAGCGACTTACCGTGTTTGAACATTAACTCTTAACTCTGTGCCAAATTACACAATCTTAATGTGGGAGGAACCTACCAACAAATACTGATGCAAATAAGCAAAATGTTTCCAAAAGATACCTACACTCAGTCTCCTTGTAATAGCAGAAAGTGGCAGCACAAGAGAGGAGTAACACTGGACCTTAGAGCCGTTGTCATTTGATTGATTACATCCTTTGGAATGTTGTTCTTAAATGTTATGCTGTTGTATTTAAATATTACAAAAATCCAAATCAACCCTTCAAATCAGGCTTTTGTACCCAATGAGCTGCTCTGGGAAGCACAACCCCAGGTACTTCGGTGTGGCAGTTCCATCAGACAGCTGGCAACTGACAGCCAAGGCCAGATTTCAGCTTCTGTGCTTTTCTTCACATTAAATGCGAAGAAACTCTAAATAGATTTATGTAATTTCTTTGGACATATTTCTTTCACTCTAGAGCAAATGTGAAAATATCTGCTAAGGCGGAGCAATTTAAGAAATTTATTTAGCATTTCCTAATTTGCTTTATCATTCCTAACCTTCCTGATGGGTTGGGGGTGTTTGGTTTTGTTTTGCTTTGTTTCTTGGGTGGTTTTGAGGTTTTCTTTTTGTTTGTTTGTTTTAAAGAGTTCATCTTGTCCATCCCTTTACTTTCCACTGAGCCCTTCCCTTCAGTCTGCTCTGGCCAGCACAGCCCAGCACGGAAAAGCAGCACCACAGTCAGTATTACAACTACGCCACGGGACAGCGAAGGCAGAAGAAGGCAGAAAACACGTCTTAGTTTAAATAAGTACCTCTAAGGAACCAAAGCTTAACAACAAAGGTAAACAGCCATTTTATTTTAAAATCTTTTGACACAATTCATCATCTTCCTCCATCAGCATGGGAAGTTTGTTATTCTCAGCTCATCCCACATCTTGAGGTCGTAAGTGATACCTCGCCGCTATAGAGCAAATATTTTATAGTACCTTCTACTACATTATTGCTTTCTCTCTCAAGGTGAAAACAAAAAAGCTTATCCAAGTGGCTTGGAGCAGGAAGCTAACACCCCCCTGCCTCATCCCCATCGAGCCAAGGCCAGAGCAGCTGCTTTGAAGGCTTTTCTGCACACGCATGCAAAAATCCTAAAACCATAAAAAAATATAAATCAAGTCTATTTATTTACCTTTCAGTACCAGCTGTCCCAGAGGAGAGTTTGCTCCAGATAAAAGGGCAATGAACTTTTAAAACAAGCAGCCATGACAGCACATTTGCCTTCTCCACGCTGTGTGTACATGCTCCAGCCAGAGGAAGGCTCGGCTGTAGCAGCACGGACAGCTTTGCAGGGTCACCCTTTCTGCAAATGCAAATTCTTGCAACTCTAAAAAACATGGGATAACTGTTACGGACCTACCCCGCAATGAGATGCCAATGGAAGTAATGTCCCCCCTTTCACGGAAAGCTTGTGACACCAGAATGTAATGGTGACAGTAAGGAACCCTTTCAAACTGTTCTGAGTCCTGACAGTAAATGCCAACCTTCCAACTTCTTCTCCTGCACTCTAGTCCCCAGGAAAAAGCAAGTACAAAAGCCCCTATTTGGGGAGAAAAAATAGATTTTCTAGTTTCATAACTGCATGCTGTCAAGCTGGATTCCAATTAAATTTTTCCTGTTTCCTAACGCAGGCTTTGCTTTTTCCAGAAATTTCTCATCACTTGAAACATTTGCTCCTGTCCTTTGCTCCCAGGCTGTGTGCTGTACTTTCTGACACACCACCTTCACCTACATGACTGTTCTCTGCCTTTACCACTTTTGCAGGGACCACAGTCGCACACAGTTGTTACATATAGCTTTAAACTGCCAAATCCCCTCACCTCAGTGAAAAGCTGGTGCTAAGCAGCATCCTCTGTTCAAACTGTGCATGCTTCACATCTAAAAGTTCCTTTTATGCAGCGATATTTAAGAGAAAACAGGCAGCAGCTAGCACTAAGGCACTTCCAACTGCAGCTCTGCGCTGCCGTTAACGCCAGCGGAATACAGCCAGCACAGATGTAGGAGGGGGGGAGCGGGGTGGTGCAAGTCTTTCCTATCCCTTCTGTCGTGGGGACGAAGGACTCCTACCGTTGATTTTTTTTTTTCCCCCTCTATCAGTGGTCTTTAACACGATCACAGTATGCACCACAATGCTTTAAAACAGCAAAGCTTCTGGAAAACCCAAACAAAAGGAACGTCACCAGGTGACGTCAGCCTATATACAGCCCTGTGTGGTCGCAGCGCATAAGCAAATCCATTCTTGTGCCGCTTCCCTGAAAAGCTTTTCAGTAAATGCACTCATGCTACTACAGGAGCTTCTCTCAGCAATAAGCCACCCATCTGCCATCAACAAGTTAGGACTAAAGGAAGGCACAGCTGCGGAAAAAGAAAACGTGAGCTTCAATTAAACAGCTGAGCAGCTACAGAGGACGAAAACTTGTATTAAGCATTGATTTAAAAATTGCAGACCTGTCAGAGGAGATCAAGCCAGTGATTTCAAAAGGAATACTCCAAGAGAACATCGTGGATTCAATTTTGCACTAATATCAAAGGACACTAAACCCAGTAAATTATTCAAAGGCTATCTCACATTAGAGCCTTTACAGACTCACGGCGTTGAGTCTAAAACTACGACTGAATGCAACCTCCAATGTACTCAAAAGAATGGGTAAGTTCCTGCGTTTCTCTGTACCTTCTATAATGAATGACCGGCTATGCTTTAAAGGAGCAGTTAGGTGCTAAAGCAAATTTTTCTGCACTGAACCTTATGAAAAAAAAAAATGTTTTCCGATTGTGACACTGTAATCCTCCGTAATAGAGATAAAGACTCATCCTAAGTGTAATATCCAAGTATTCTATGTTTTGTAGTAAGTTGTTTCTTGCATTTAGAACTAGCTTGTCGGAAATGCATGGCAATGTTATCTGCAGTGAAATCTTCCATGGTGATGTTCAAAGTGTACTGATAAGGCTATCCTATCTTGTTGTTTTCCTAAATTATATTCTGCAGGCTTACATTTCAAGTGGCCATTAGGGGCTCGTATGCTGGCAGCACTATATGCAATGAGTATGGTTTTAAAAATGCTGCCTGCCTTGGGCATGGCTTGTCCACCAAAATGTCGCTGTGAGAAGCTGCTCTTTTACTGTGACTCTCAGGGGTTTCACTCAGTGCCAAACACCACTGAAAAGGGCTCGCTAGGTTTGTCACTGAGGCACAATTTTATTTCTGAACTTGAAAGGGATCAATTTGCAAGCTTCAGTCAACTTACTTGGCTTCACTTAGATCATAATCAAATTGCAACAGTCAGAGAAGATTCTTTTCAAGGACTGTATAAGCTTAAGGAATTAGTCTTAAGTTCCAACAAAATCTTTCATTTGCCAAACACAACTTTTAGCCAGCTGCTTAACCTGCAGAATTTGGACCTCTCTTTTAATCAGTTATCCTCTCTGCACCCCGAGCTCTTCTACGGCCTTCGCAAGCTACAGACCTTGCTCTTGCGATCCAACTCCCTGCGGACCATCCCAGTCCGCCTGTTCTGGGACTGTCGTAGCCTGGAGTTCCTGGATTTGAGCACAAACCGCTTGCGAAGTTTGGCTCGCAACGGATTTGCGGGATTAATCAAGCTGAGGGAGCTTCACCTAGAGCACAACCAGCTGACAAAGATTAATTTTGCTCACTTCCTCCGGCTGAGCAGCCTGCACACACTCTTCTTGCAATGGAACAAAATCAGCAACTTGTCGTGTGGGATGGAGTGGACCTGGGGCACCTTAGAAAAGCTCGATTTGACTGGAAACGAAATCAAAGCCATCGACCTAACCGTCTTTGAAACTATGCCTAACCTTAAAACCCTCCTGATGGATAACAACAAGCTCATCACTCTGGATTCCAAGATCCTGAGTTCACTGAGGTCCCTCACCACCGTGGGCCTCTCCGGCAATCTGTGGGAATGCAGCCCAAAGATCTGCGCCTTGGCCACATGGTTGAGTGGCTTCCAAGGTCGGTGGGAGCATGCCATCCTCTGCCACAGCCCCGACCACACCCAGGGAGAGGATATTCTGGATGCAGTGCACGGTTTTCAGCTTTGCTGGAATTTATCAACTGTTGTTACACCCGTGGCTACGACGTACCCAGCTCCGACTACCGAGTACACGAAAAGAATCAGCTCTTCTCATTTCCATATGGGAGACAAAGAGATTCCAACTACGGCAGGCATGGTCGTTACCACCGAAGAACATTTCCCAGAGCCAAACAATGCCATGTTCACTCAGAGGGTAATTACAGGAACAATGGCTTTATTGTTTTCTTTCTTTTTTATCATTTTTATAGTGTTCATCTCCAGGAAGTGCTGCCCTCCCACATTAAGAAGAATCAGGCAGTGCTCAATGATTCAAAACCACAGGCAGCTCCGATCACAAACACGGCTGCATATGGCAAATATGTCAGACCAAGGACCCTATAATGAGTACGAACCCACCCACGAAGGACCCTTCATCATCATTAACGGCTACGGACAGTGCAAGTGTCAGCAGCTGCCGTACAAAGAATGTGAAGTATAATACCTACATGCCATCAAAGATTAAATCAGATAAGTAACCTATTTTAAAATTGTAGGGGACCTACATCAGATTCTAATTTTTACAGATGTTGACATAAAGCCTAATTTTCCAAGCTACTTAATGGAAACATTGTTTATGGAGTGGTGCAGTATTTTTAAGTTTTTTAAAAAATAAATCCATAATATTTTCAGTGTTAAAGCAGCAATGACCACATCAAACTTGCACTCCTAATGTTTAAAAGTCTAAAAAGATGCTCACCTCAAACTATGTAAAATGTTTCATGTTATGTAATTATATGACTGTGTGTAAACATTTATACCCAAGTCTCCATATTCTACTTTTTCTAATTAAAGCAGTCAGAGGGGAAGGATACTGGATATCTGTACAGAGATCTGCGGGGGGACATACGCTTCGTTTGTTCCACTGCAGCTGTAGGATCCCAAACACTCCAGCTGGCTCCATTCACTTTAAAGGCAGCCAGGGAGGAATATTTTCCTCCTCTGATCATTTCACTCCAGTATAAAAGGGGAGGGGAAACAAACAAACAAACAAAAGAGCAAAGGTCCAGGTGGGGATTTAAGTGCATTGAGGACCGATGGATTTATTTTAAATACAGTTTTCCTATCTGCATATTGATAGTCTGGCTTGCTTGACCAGACCTTGCTAAAGCTCACAACAGATACAGAAAGGAGCCCTTCACACGGTCACAAATGAGCAGGAGGACTCATCAGGCGCTTAAAGTAGCTTATTTAGGAAGGCTCTGTACGCTGGGATCGATTCTAAATATAAAGTGCATTCAATTCTTATCAGCTCCCTGGTTTGACTTGATGATGCTTCTCATGAATTCAGGCTAATTACTTACAACTACGAACAAATGTCATTTCAACACCTTTTCCTGTGTAAATACCCTTAATGCAAGTTTTTCTTAATTAAAAGTAAACATCAATGGGGAGGTTAAAGAGAAGAGGGAAGGAAGGAAAAAGCCTCTCTTTGTCCCCCCGCTGCCCCCCCAGCTGAGGCTTCCTCTTGCCTGGAAGCTATTTTCATGCACTAACTCCACTGGTTTCTCTGGAGACAGAACTAGCCCCTCTAATATAAGCTCTCACTTGTCCTCCTCTTCCAAAATTCAAGGCAATTACCATTCAAAAAAAAAAAAAAGATATACCTTCTGATAAGTTAGGATAATATAATTAGTTTATAGAATAGTTCACTGAAAAATGTTTTACTCATACTTGATATGGGACAGAATCTAACTTAGTATGCTGTTCAAA